TTGAGTTTTAAGTAATATGCATTAATAAACAGTACTTTACGTATAAAAAGTAGTTTTTAAGAGTTTTTGTCAAATGCTTTATAATATAGTATAGATTATTTTTTTTTAATTTAATTTAAGTTTAATAATGAAATAATTTATTTTTGGTTTAATAATATAACATTTTATAAAGATAATAATTAAGTATTTTGTTAGAACTCAATGATTATCCTAATTATATTTTAGATTTTTTATATTTAAAATAAAATGTTTATCTTGTATTTGATTGTATTTATCTGCAGTTACTTACACGAATTCAGTTATAGGATGAAATCAGATAGGGATGAAATTGTTTAGGGATGAACAGTTTTAAGAGTTTAAGAGTTTTTAAGAGTTTTAGCCAAATGCTTTATAATATAGTATAGATATAGATATAGATAGAGAAAATAAGAAAACAACAAAAAAAAATCCAGTTTATAGGATTCTCTAAAATTTGATGGAAGGTAAAAGGATATTCACGTAATGTAACAAGATACATCTTGATTTTAATGTTAAGTTTTATTTTGTCTCCATCAATTTATATGGTATTGAAAAAACGATCATGTTTTTATGTTTTCAATAAAATATAAATTTGAATGTATCAAAAAAATTTGAAAAAAAAATGTATCAGTTTTAGTATCAAATTAAAATTTTAAAAGTTCTTGTTTTTTTTTTTTGTAATTTCTTTGATTTAATTTTATTATTATAATTAAATTTATAGTGAACTCATTTATTTTTGGTTTAGTAATATAATTTTTTTATAAAGATAATAATTAGTATTTTGTTAGAATTCAATGATTATTCTAAATATATTTTAGATTTTGTATATATAAAATGAGATACTTATCCAATATTTGATCATGTTTATCTATAATTAGTTACACGAATTCAAACATGAAGTTTTAATAAATTGTACATACTCATAATTTACTTGTAATCTTGAAGTTTAAGTAATATGTATCAATAAACAGTTTTTAATGAATAAAAAATAGTTTTTAAGAGTTTTTGTCAAATGTTTTATAATATAGTATAGATATAGATAGAGAAAATAAGAAATCAACAAAAAATTTCTAAGTTTATAGAATTCTCTAAAATTTGATGGAAGGTAGGAGAGATTATTTTTTAATTCATTTCCACCAATAAAATTAAACTATTATTATTTTATATATATATTTTTTTTGAAAATTGTGATAATAAAACTATATAATATTTTAATAATATAATCAATACTGAAATATTTAAAATAAAGAATTTGTTGTAGTGAGATGTAATTTCATTTAAAGCATTTGACTTTTGTTTCTTTATTTCAGAGAAGTTATAGAAAATCTGTTGGAAATGATCTAAAATTCTGTATGCATTTAATGTCAAGATTAAGTTGAATCATGCATTAAAAATGTAAAAAGTGAATTTTGATGTTGATGTGTGAGAAGAAAAGTACAATGTAAGGCCATAGAGATGCATCTATACTATATCATAAAACATTTGATAAAAACTTTTAAAAACCTTTTTTATGCATGAAGTATTGTTTATTGATGCATATTACTTAAAATTCAAGATTACAAGTAAATTGTGCGCAAGTACAACTTATTAAAACTCCTTGCTTGAATTCGTGTAACTAACTGCAGATAAACATAATCAAATACAAGATAAACATATCATTTTAAATAAAAAAAATTAATATATAATTAGGATAATTATTGAGTTCTAACATAATATTTAATTATTATTTTTGTAAAGAATTATATTAATAAACTTAAATATAATAAAACTTAAGGATTAAAGAAATTACATAAAACAATAATTTTTAAATAGTTAATTTAATACTAATATCCATATATATCTATAATATATTGTAAAGCATTTGACAAAAACTCTTAAAACCCACTTTTTATGCATAAAGTACTGTTTATTATTGCATATTACTTAAAACTCAAGATTGCAAGTAAATTGTGCGTAAGTACAACTTATTAAAGCTTCATATCTGAATTCATGTAACTACTGCAGATAAACATAATCAAATACAGGATAAACATTTCATTTTAAATATAAAAAATCTAAAATATAATTAGAATAATCATTGAGTTCTAACAGAATACTTAATTATCATCTAAAATATAATTAAGATAAACTTTTAAATAGTTGATTTGATATTAACATTGATATATTTTTTTCAAATTTTTATAATATCTTTAAATTTATATTTTATTCAAAAATAAAAAATCATCACTGCTTTCTTAAAACACATAAAACGTATCATAACATCGATAGATACAAATAATAAAATAAAACATTAAAATCGAGATGTGTCTCGCTGCATTGCGCGAGTACTCTAACAAAATATATATATATATATATATATATATATATATATATATATATATTTCAATTTTTTATTATATTTTATTCAAAAATAAAAACATTGTCGCTTTCTCAAAATCACATAAAACCATATTATATCGACATATATAAAAAATAAAACAAGACGTTGAAATCAATATATATATATATCGATGCATTACATGAATATTCTTCTAGTTTAATAATATACAGAGATGTAATTGGTCTACCCCTTAAATTAAGGCATAAACCAAGAGTGAATTACACGTTTGGTTTATTTATTTTATGGTTTTTAGAGCATCTTGTGGAAAGTTCTTTATGAGAGTATCTTTAGTGAATAATGCCAAATCTT